GGAAGAGGCCTGGGGACACGGCTCTCCTGAGCCCCAGGCAGACCCTGCATCTGATTCTGAGGACCCTCCCCTCCAAGAGTAACAAACATTAAAATGCACCCATGGCCCTCATTCAATGTAACTCTTCTCTGGCTTAAACTAGGCAGGCCTCTGTTGCCTTGCTTCTGAAGTTACCCGACTATGAGCAACTCGTGTAGTTTAGAACTGGCTGTGACTGCAATCATGCTGTGGAGTCCAGAGTGTTTGCCAAAAATGCAGTTTACAAATTGTTTTCAAATACGATGACATTTGTATGGATACTAAAATTAACAAATATTGAAACCGACACGTTATTTTCTTTAAACATTTGTTAGTTTCGGTTTCTCTTTTTTTCTTATTTCACAGCCTCCAAAGTTCTAGCTCCACAGCTTTCCTTGAGCTTTTGAAAGTTTACTCCTCTGGTCTGCATCCACAGCCGGGGCTCCTTCCTGGGTCACCCCAACTCCAGACACTGCGGGAGACCCTGCGGCTTCTACCTGCAGAGACCACCCACCCAGGTCATCTACCAGGCAATGTTGAGCAGTTTTACTCCTATTTAGAAAACAAGGTGACTTGTTGAACATTAAACGTGAGTTAATGTTTAAAGTTCTATTGGACTTTCCTTGAATAAATTCACCCATGAGGCAATAGTGTGACAGGGTTTGGATGAGCACACGAAATGTCCCCCTGCTCCTCTCCGGCTCCCCAGGAGGGGGCGCCCAGGGAGCAGCCCAGATTACTGTCAGCTTGACTCAATGCTATGGCTGCAGTGCCTAGCTGTAGATTTCACTCTGGGCCAGCCCAGGACCACAAGGAGGGAGAGTCTTCTGCTGTTGGCAGGCGCCATTTGAGGCATTCTAAAGCATTGATTTTAAAAGTCAGCCACCAACTATTCCCCTACCCTGCAAACAAAAGGCCGTTTCTGCCCCAGCCAGGACTACACAATGAGTTCAAGGCTAGCCTTTGGAGGGTGGTAAGATGCTGCCTTCCCCAGTAGGGGCCCACACATATCTAACAAGCAGATCACAGGGAGGGACTGGCAGGGAGACTGTCTGGGAGGTCTGGCAAGGCAGAGCACAAGAAAGGAAAGGGCTTTGCTTAGCTCTATCAAGTGAAAGAGATGTCTTAAACCTGGTAATTCTTTCTTATGGGCATGTAGGTTAGGGTGAGAATCTCGAGTCTTGTGCAAACCCAAGCTAAGGCTTACCAAAATCTTACCAAATGCTTTAAACCCAATGGCGGGAAGAATCCAGCATGAGGAAAGGACTATGGATAAAAATCTGTAGGCACAGAGAAGGAAGGATCTTGCCTATGATCACATGGACCAGGAGGACAGCTAAAGCCCACGTGTTTTGGCTCCACGGTGCATAGCCAGTTACACACCCCAGGCTAACTATCTTTTTACATTTTGAGCATACGTGTACATACGCACATGCCATGGTATGCACACATACCATGCTGCATGTGCTGGAGGATGACTTTCAAGAACCAGCTTTCCCTTTCAAGGATCCACCAATCTTGGCAGCAAACGCCTTTACCCACTGAGCCATTTCACGAGCCCAGGTCCAGCTGTTCTTAACACAGAAAAGTTATGATAATAAATCATGTAATAGGGCACAGCAACAAGATTTACATTTATAGATTTTTTTAAACATTTATTTATTTACTTATTATGTATACAATATTTTGTCTGCAGACCAGAAGAGGGCACCAGACCTCATTACAGATGGTTGTGAGCCACCATGTGGTTGTCGGGAATTGAACTCAGGACCTTTGGAAGAGCAGGCAATGCTCTTTCTTAACCACTGAGCCATCTCTCCAGCCCCAGATTTTCTTGATTTTTTTGAGACACGGTTTCTCTGTGTAACAGTCCTTGCTGTCCTGAAACTCACTTTGTAGACCAGGTTGGCCTCGAACTCACAGAGATTCGCCTGCCTCTTCCTCCCAAGTGCTGGCATTAAAGGTGTGCACCTGGCTTATAGATGATTTTAATAAAATGTTAAAGATATGTTAATGATTTTTAAAAGCAAATTTATATACAATAAAATCTCGATTCAAAAAAATTACTTGAATTTAGAGTATGGTGACACACAGCTGTAACCCCAGCACCAGGAAGACCATGGAGAAGGGTCGTGAACTGAAGGCCAGCCTGAGCTGCATAGCACTGTCTAGAAGAGCAAACTAAGCGCTGCTTTCAAAAAAGAAGTGGGAATGGCAAGATGGCTCAGTAAATGACAGCTGCCACTCCTGACAATCTCAGTTCCATGTCCAGGACCCCGTAGAGGACGGAGGGAACTGAACTGACCGCCACATAGACTCACGGCAAGAACACATCGTGGTCTCACACGCGCGCGCACGCACACACACACACACAGACACACACACACACACGAAATAAACGTAATAAAAATTCTTTTTGAAAAGAACTAAAAGGAAAACATAAATGTGTAAAATAGATTCATGCATACACATAGCTCAAGTATGCTTGTTATAAATAAATGCTTGGTGAAATTAGTATAGGCAAGAATACGATTTTTACTTTCTACCTTCCTGTATCTTCAAAGGTTTTTTTTTTCTTTAATTTGGTCATTTTATTTATATGTATGTTTCTGTTTTATGTCCCTAGAACTCCTCAGGATCTTCCCTCCCATGTATTTTCATCTTAATTCTTCATGGTTCGTGCTGCCATCTGAAGCTGTCAGGACAATGAAACCAAGCTGATGGGGTGGGAGTAGATTATTCTGCCCGTTTTTCCTAGGTCTCCGAGCTGCACATCACACCTGGGACCATGCCACACTTGTTTCGCCTGTCAGTGAGGTTCATTTTCCCGGCTCTGTGATCAGCAATGACTGCCAGTATAGCCATGCTTCATCCTCAGTTAGGAGCCAGGTAACGACTCTAGAGCACAGGCTAAGGATGGGATGCATATCGTCATTCAGCATCATTACACTCTTGAGAGCATCACCAGGAAATACATGTGCCCCATTCTGGTAGTGCAGAACCTTCCTTACCTTTGAAAGGTTAATTACTCCTGGGCTGCGTGTGCCGCTCACTAACCTAGAATATGAAAGGTCTGGTATTCTATCCCTGGAACCACAAAACCAAATTCCAAAAAGGAAAAAAAAAAATTTTTTTTTTTGTTGTTGTTGTTTTGTTTCTCAAGATAGGGTTTCTCTGGTAGCTTTGGAGCCTGTCCTGGAACTAGCTCTTGTAGACCAGGCTGGCCTCAAATTCAGAGATCTGCCTGCCTCTGCCTCTCGAGTGCCACTGCCTGGTGATTCACTGTTGGTAAATGTTTGTAAGAATTTTCTGCAAAACTGAAAACCCAAAGTCCAGTTGTTACGAAACTGGAGAGGTGGCTAAGAACCGTTTTTGTTGGTTAGTGATGTACTGAGGGCTGGGCCTCAGCACCGATAAAAACCAGGCAAGAATATGAAAGAAAGGACTTGCCTTAATAACAAATTCAGCAAAAGAATATGGAGTCCTCAGTGCTGGTGTCGGGCAGGTAGGGCTGGCCTTCAAGGCACGGTCTAGACCTACTAAGCCTGCTTGCCTGATTTCACAAAGTTAGCTCCCCTCATTCTTGGATGAGGGGATGCAGACAAGGCCCAGTGAGGTGTGCAGAACCTTAGACAGGGCGCTTTTCTCCAGTCTGTTGCTAGCCCTTTCTACCTCTACAGCCCATTTCTCTAGGCAGAAATTAGGGATTTTTTTGGTGTGGTTTTGTTGATTGGTTGGTTGGGACAGCCTTCCGCTCATGCCCAAATTCCAACATTCAATTCAGATATATAAAGGACTAAAATGAATTGGCTAGGAGCCAGTGAGAGTCAGGAGACCCAGAGCTGCACCGGGTCTCTGGGGCACTGCTGCAGTCTGAGGCCAGATGCAGATGGGCCCTCCTACCTGCTCAGAGTCAGGGGTTAGGGAGTGGGGGCTGCTGCCAACCAATCTCCATGGGCTCCCAGCCAGGCACTCCATCACAAAGGCTTACAATTCTGAGGCAGGAAGTCCTGAGACCCTCAGCCAGCAGCAGCTGTGGCAAGCGTCTGCTGCCTATGCAGGAAATACCCTGCGCTGTTCAGGGCCGGTTCTACTTCCTTTTTATTATTTATTTATTTATTTATTTATTATTTTGGTTTTTCAAGACAGGGTTTCTCTGTAGCTTTGGAGCCTGTCCTGGAACTAGCTCTGTAGACCATGTTGGCCTCGAACTCACAGAGATCCACCTGCCTCTGCCTCTCCAGTGCTAGGATTAAAGGTGTGCACCACCACGGCCCGGCTTTCTACTTCCCTTCTTTACACACAACGGACTCTATCACCTTAGAGGCAAAGAGATGCTCTGCAAACCGTACCACAAACTTGGGGTGCAAAGTGAACTGCTAGAGATGGGTTCAAACACAAGCAGCTCCCGCTCCTTGCGATACAATCTGACAGTTGTCTGTCACCATACCTGCCACCTTTTGTCAGATTCCTCAAGGGAGAGACCTGGCAAGAGTGTTTTAAACAGGTTACTGAGAAGGTCCCGCAGTTTTGAAACCACAAGCCTCAGGCAGACATGTAGGGGCATATGTTCCCACCTGCCATGCTGTCCCTACGAGGCTGCACCGGAGGTACAATGTGGAAGCATGCCATCTTTCCAAGGTGGTGTCACACGAATACACCATGGTCCTGGAGCTACCTTCAGAAGGGACAAACTGGGTAAGAGCTCAGTGGTCATCTCCTCTCTCCTACTGATACCCTGGTCTGTGTGCAAACGCACTAATCCACTTCATCCATGCCGTGTGCCTCAACGTGTTGCATGTCAGAGCTGTGCCAATACACACACACACACACACACACACACACACACACACACACACACACACACAGTTGGCAGGACGGCCACCAGCCTTTGTTTAGACAGCTGCCCAGGCTGTATTCCATCCAGAGTGCCTTGCCACTTACCACCCTTTCCCTCCCAACACAGACCTTCACATGCCTCGTTACTTAAATAATCTTTATTTCTCATGCACTAGGAAAATGGGTCATATGAAACACTGTTCTTCATAGCAAAGGCCTTGGTCTAGAACATAACACAGGAGGCTAACTGGGATCTGGGCCTGACCAAAGACCTGGAAACCCCCGAAGGTGGTACCACCCCCAGGGCTAAAGGCAGGCCCAGCACCCTCCAATTGTACACACAGATCAGGGCAGCTGCCCGCTCCCAAAGGGGCACAAAGGAGCAGGTAACAGAGGGACATGTGGAGTGGGGAGGAACAGAGGAGGCAATGACTTGGCAGGGGCAGTGGTCCAGCCCCTTAGGCCAGGCCTCCAGGGCCATGAGCAAGCCAAAGCCTACTCTGCCTAGCACAGACACCGAGCAGCCAGTGCCACAATAGAGGGATCATAAGCCCCTCCTGATTGCCCATGGCCACATAAACAAGAAGGGACCTCAACGTGAACTCCAGTCAAAGCCTGGATTTGCCGAGGTAGGGCTCCAGAGGCTAACAGGGCCAACCCCACACAACTATCCCAAGCCCCAGTGGACACTGAAGACACCATGGGACAGTCAGACCTCTGACAATCCTGGGACGGGTCATTAGCAGGGCCAGCCCTAAATCTCAGTCATCAGGTACCACCTGAGCCAGAACAGCAGTGAAGCAGATTCTTGGACTTGCTTTCAGTGAGGTGGCCCAGAGGCAAGACCTGGTCAAAGACATGCAGGACGGAAACAGAGAGCAGAGACATGCAGAGACCACACCAGGTGGGAGGGGCCGGTCACAGACATGATCAAGTTGCTGAGATGGGCGAGCACTGCATGGACCAGGTCACTAAGGCCCCGGGCTCATGACAAGGCCCACTTCCTCTGGGATTGTCTCCAGAGTCTCACTCTGGATGGCCTGTGTGATAAGTGCCAGCTCCTGGCACAGGGTCTCATGGCGGTAGCCTACGCGGATGTCTGGCACGTTGGTGCGGCGGATGTCATTGCCCTCGGGGCCCTCCTTGGTATAGTTGGGTCCCAGCCAGTGGCTTTTTACCTGCAGAGGGTGTGGTATAGGTAATGAGCAGAGCTGCAGGGAGATCCAATCATCACAGGGACACTTCCGGGACCCCAAAACAAAGCAAGACAAAGAGGTGATACCCAGCCCCGGGCAGGGTGCGTATCATACCTTGTGGGAGAAGCCACTCATGAGCACACTGTTCCGAGCCAGTTCACACATGTCGCAGGAGCTGAGCTTCCACACCTGAGTGGCAATGCTGTATTCCTCCATCAGGGGTTCCTGCACAGGACGGGTTTCTTAAGAGAGGAATCCGGTCCCTGCAGCCTCTCACTCCTTTAAGGGCTTAGCAATGCCGTAACAGTTGCAATGCTCTACCAGCAAGGGGCAGCACAGACCCAGAGAAACCCCCGGGATCTCTGAGACACCCACCCGCCCCAAGGCCACCTGCTGGCCTGGGTCTGACCTTGGTGAAGTGGAACTGCAGGGGATCGTCCGTGGACAGCGAAACCATGAGGCCACGGGACAAGTACTCGGGTAGAGGGTTCCGGTGGTAGCTGAGAAACAGGCTGTTGTTGCTGAGCGGGGACATGGCGATGCCAATCTGAGCCAGGTAATACAGGTACTGCAGGACGGGGGCCTGGGGAGGTAGGAAGGAAGGAGGAGTGGTCGGGGGGGCCTCAGTGCTGGGAGGGCATACTGGTTCTGGGGCGCAGGGGAAGCGGGGCTCCAGGTTAGGGCTCACGTAAGAGTGGTAAATCCAAGCTGGGCTCCTCCACTAGGGGATGGGTGGGAAGAGCTAATTATATTGGGAGGACTAAATCTGATCTCATGGCTGGGTGAGGAGGAGGATCAGGAAGGCAAACAGCTGCATGTGGAGGCTGGGGGTGTAGACCCTGACCTTGCGCAGAAGCAGCCCGTGGGAGATGTTCTCGGCCAGCATGAAGGCTGACACCAGGTGGTGGATGGGCCCAGCCTCCCCGCAGTGCGGCCTCAGCACAAACGTGTGGAAACCCCTCTGCCTGAGGGGCATGAAGACACAGTCAGTTCCAGAGCCCGGGCACACCTAAGCTCACCTGACCCCGGATCCCACACCACCGGCGCACATGTGCCCTCTAGCTAGTGACTGTGGGGGGCCTAGGATGGAGGACGGGGCAGACTCTCCACTAGAGGGGACAACAAATGAAGCCTAAGGGCACAGAAAGAGCCCAGTCAGGAGGAGCCCACCAGGGCCATGTGTGAGCCAGGGCGCGAGCGGCCTCAGCTCAGGGCACTCAGAGGCGAGGCAAGCAGAGGGCCAGCACCCCAGGACAAGCACCTGCGCAGATGGTTCAACACGGCCATGTTAGCGAAGGTGTAATACAGGTAGTAGGCGTAGGGTGGGTTGTCCTCCTCCACCCAGGCTTCCGGGAGGGGACTCTCCAGGTTGAAGACGTGGTTCTCTGGCTTGGACTCATCATCCACACTGTCAAAGCCATCCACCTGGCAGAGAGCTGGGGGTCAGTCCTAGAGCCACAGCTGGGCCCTCGCCCGGCTAGCCCGCCCTCGCCCTGCCCCAGGCCACGGCTCACGTGCTCCAGAAACAGGTGCAGCTCGGGGTGGCTGGCAGGGTGCACAGTAGCCTCAAACAGTGGCAGAAAGATGTTCTCCAGCATCTCCTGGAAGTTGGCCAGCTGGCCCTTGGTGCGGTAGACGTCACTGCAGGGAAGACAGGACACAAGCAGATGCAGGGCCGGCAGCAGGACAGCAAGAGGCAGAGCTGTCATGAGAAGCACCAGCCTGAACCACAGTGGGGAAAGTGGGACATCTGGAGAGACCAGGCTGGACAGACTGTGGGTCGGTCTGGGAGGCCCTTCCTGGCCCTCAGAGTGCCTAGTCTGGCTCCTGAAGGCTTAGCCATCCCAGCAGAACAGGAGGCAGGCCCTGGCCCTTTGTACCTGTACAGCCCTGGAGCTTCCGCCCACTCTAAGGGACACTCACAAGAGGCGGGGCACCTGCACCAGCCAGCGCACATTGGGAGAGTGCACTTTGTGCACCACTGCCCAGCGTGCCAGCTTGTCCCACTCGTCCCTCGAACGTCCGTAGATGGACAGCCGGAGCTCTGCGTTCTGGTATTTGCTCTCCTCCAGGTCTGCCATCACCTCCTAGACACCAGAAGCAATCACAGCAGGTTCCTCCCTGCCCGAGCACCCACCCCAGGAGTTCCTCAGGCCTCTTGCCTCCCTCCTCCTGTCGCTGGAGCCCTCCTACACATGGGCTCTAGCTCGGCAGGGCAGAGCTGCCCCATACCTTGATGATGTGAGCGAAGTACTTCCCAGAAATCTTGTTGTCGGTTTTGATGAAGATCTCACGGAGGACAGACTCCCCGATAGGGTTGTATTTGGCATTGAATTTATCAAATCGGTGAAAGGTATTCCTGTCCTAGAGGAGATGGGAAGGCCTGGGTCACACCCCTGATCCCTGGCCCTAGTGCCGACCCAACACCCCAGCCCCTGGGACACACCGCGTGCACATCCAGTGTGTCCACGCTGAGGTCATAGGCCGTGAGGTTCATGCTCTCGAAGACCTCCCGCAGGGTCTGCTCACGGCCCTGCTCAACATGCACGATCTCCTCCAGATGCCGCTTCATCGCCCGCTTGATGAAGCGCAGCAGATGCTTCTGGTTCATGCAGGATGAGGCATGGATGTGCGTATCCACCTGCAGCAGAGAGGGACCGTGGGGTCTACCAACGGCTAGGGCTTTGTCACCTCAGCACACGAGGACTACAGCAGTGATCCCCTGAACCCACATAAATGCCAGGTGCATGCGGCAATCTACATATAATCTTAACATGAGGAAGGCAGAGGGAAGGGAGACACAAAATAAGCTGGCTACCTAGACTAGTCAAAGCAACAAACTCTGGGTTCAAGCGAGAAACTTTGTCAATGTTAACTTTGGCCTCCCTGCCACATGGGTAAGTGTGCACAGGCATGTGCACATGCACGTGTGCGCGCGCACACACGCGTGCACACACACACTGTAAAGATGTACTTGCAAACATGCATATATATGCACACAGATCACACACAAACAAATGCAAAGTTGGGGAGAGACGGCTCAGCAGGTGAAGGCACCTGCCACCAAACCTGATAACCTAAGTCACTCCCCAGGACCCACAGGGCGGACTTCTGGGAAGTTTTCCCCAGCCTCCACATGCCCACACCCATATACATACACAAATTACATAATTGGAATGTAGTAATTTTTTTAAAAGAAATGTCTATGGCCAAAACAGGAGGTAAAAGAGGACTGTCTATATTGAGTGTTGGGGATGAGGGGAAATCCCTGTCTTGGGAGGAGAGAGGTGCATCAGGACACAGAAGCCATAAGCTGAGGACCCACCTTCCGGATATTGTAGAAGTCCCGGTGGGGCACTTTCTTCTGAGCAGCCAGTTCCTTCATCTCGTTGAGCAGAACATGCATCTGGAATTTGGAGCTCAGGTACTGCAGCCGGCGGTAGCAGAATGACTTTCTGGGCAAGAAGGAAGAAGAGAAAGACTCAGCTCCTGATGGAGGTTCCTGGGAAGGGCGAAGGCAGGAGGCAGGAGCCTACGGAATAAGGGCAGCAGACTCGGGAGTGGCAGGAGACAAAGTGACAGTTGTCTGGGGCAGGGCAGGGCAGGGCAGGGCGAGGCTGGGGCTGGAAGGTCTGGGCCACGAGGTGGGACAGGTGGAAACTTACATGGGGCCGTTGATAATCAGGGCCATCAGCACATTGACGTCAGCTACAAACTCCTGTAGGTCAGGGTACGGAAGCTCTACCTCTGGACAGCTAGCATGCAGGAAGCTCAGGTGAGGAGAGCAAGGCAAGCCGCCTGGCCCCTCTCCCAAGCCAATTCCCTACGGTACACCCCAGCACACACCCCACCCCTCTTACTTCTCATCGGGGTCCCTGCGGGTGTAGACATGCACCACACCACGCACCATGCGCAGGCCCAAGCCCAGGTCCCCAGGCATGGTGCTTGGTTCACAGTGCTCATATGGGTGCTGCTCCAGGGCAGGGGGGTGCACTGGGGCATCTGCAAAGGGGAGAGCGAGGAAAGAGTCAGGGCCAGGGAGCTTCAGAGCCTGCAGCTACCCAGTCTGTGGGGGTCCATAGCCAGAAAGGGATGTCAAAGGCTCCAAAAGAGCAGCTACGGGCCCCAACCTCTACCCTCCCGGACGGCAAGAAGCCAGAAAGAGCCTGGGTGGGGGGGAAATGCAGGCAGGGCAGAAGTGCCTAGGCTCCAAGCCTAGGTACCCAGGGCAGTTGGGGGTCTGGGGAGGGACGGGAGCTCCCACCGGCAGACACAGGGGTATCAGGGCTCTGCTCATAGGTTCGCGTCTCCAGGGGCTTCTCTGCCAGCTGTTGCAGGTAGCGGCGGGTGGTGGGGCAGAAGCTTTGCAGGGCCAGGGCCATGTACTTCTCCCGGATGAAGAGTGCCCGTACCACACTTTTGGCTGCATCTAACAGGTCTGTGAATGGCACCTGAAGGCAAGGACAGGAAGTCACTTTCTTTGGTCTCTGTCCACACTCAGGCTTAGAATACTCACCCTTTGGCCATCCCCAACCTGATACGCCAATCCCCAGTTCCAAAGGCCTCTAACCCAGGACGACCCAGCCCTCTCCAGTCCCAGTTTTATCAGTGAGCCTGGCACCTCTGACACTCCAGGTACCCGAAGAAAAATACCCTCTCCAGCTCCTGCTAGCTCCCCAGGACAGAACTCTCTAGAACCCAAGGCTTCACTCCACACTCACCCCGCACTTCTCCTCGCCGGAGATGATGACCCGCTGAAATTCCCGTTCCAGTACCGCATCACGCTCCCAAGGACCCCTGTCACCCTGTCCCTCTCCTTGCTCCTTGTAGAGCCTATGGGAAAGGAAGACAGAAAGGGTTGGAGACAGCCACAGTACAGACCCCAGCTCCACAGGCCCTGCGCATGCCCCCTTCCTTCCTCACTGTAAGTCCGAGTCACTGTCTGTCTTCAGGAAATCTTGCTTGGCCCGAAGCAGGATATCTGGCTCCAGCCTAGAGGTGAGAGGAAAAGGGTCTGGTAAAGCAAGAGCATTGGCTGCAGCAGCCTGTGCCAGCCTGTGCCTGCTGCTGTGCACACACTGCCACATGCGGTACTCACGGGCAGGGCTGTGGACCCTGGGCTGCTCGCAGCCCACTTCAGAGACGAGAAAGCAGTCCCAGAAGCAGGTTTATCCCGTAGACCCTAAACCTCCCAGAAGATGGAATCGGCATGGCCTGGCTCAGAGAACATGCTCTGCACCGCCTCCCCGGTGGACCTCAAAGGGACAAAGGGACAGGGGAGAGGCCAGAGCAGGCTCACTTGACATCCTGGCTGATCTGCCGCTCCAGCCGCTGCCTCCGCTCCTCCAGCTGCTCGATGGGGCTGGCCTCTGGGAACTCATAAGGGGCGCTGCGGAGCTCACTCTCAGCCAGGGAGCGGCTGAACAGCTCCTGGTACCAAGGAGGGAACGAAGAAAGGTCAGGTGGCCATGCTTTCAAGCCCTCTGCCCCTTCCTCCCCCCCCCCCCCCGCAGAGTCTGGACAAGGGGTGTGGCAGGAGGCACAGTGTTCCTGGGCAAGGCTTAGGGTCAGAGACAGCCAAGAATAAGATGAGAGGAGACTGAGGGAGAGGGTGGAACGACAGAGGTAGTGGGAGGTGAGAAGGGGTGGGGGTGCCAGGCGATACCTCAGCGATCTCCTTGCATTTGCCATCCATAGACGTGCGAAGGTCGAGTGGGAAGTGCTTGAGGCCGGGGGCAGTGCCCGGCAGAGATCGGGCAGACTGCAGTGGAGAGGCCCCCAGACCACCCCGAGCCTCTGTAGAGACAGTGATGCCAGGGTCAAGGGGAGGAGGGGCAGGACCTATCTAGGAAGCCAAGAATACGTTCCCACCCTAGGGCCAGAACCTATTAAAAGCCAGGACCTAGACACTGGGCAATATAGCCACTGAGACAGAAGAGCCAGCCATGTGGGGCTCCCAAAGGAACTCATCCACATCTACACAGAGGCCCGTCACCGCCCCAGGCTCAGGGATGAGGTCCTGCGCCTGCCTACAGAGCAAATGAATCAACTCTGCGATAAGAACTTGAAGTGGGGGTGCCCCCCTCCCTTAGACCAGGAGGATCTATCTGCACGTGACTATTTCCCAGAAGGGGGTACACATGTACACACACACACACACACACACACACACACACAGCACTCATTTAAGACCAGTGGCCACACTAAGGATCGTCAGCTTCTAGGGCACAAACCCAGGATCAGATCCGTCCCTGGCTTAACAGGTCCTTCACTGACAAGAACAGAGCAGCTGTCTCCTCTCCTAGACCTGCAAGGCACAGGCAAGTAGAGCAGACACTCGGCTCTGACCTGAGAAGCAACTATGCAGGAAGAGGACCTGGTTGCTAAGGCGCCCTCTCCCCCTCCCCCCCGGGGGCCTGTCTTCTCTCGAGGACCCCAGAGCTGCCAAGGACTGATCCTAGACTGCCCCACCCACTGCTAGCTGTCCTGAGGGGAGCGACCACAGTCTATGCCACTTGGAGGCCCTAGCATCTGGGCTGGAGGCTCCATGGAAGGCCCTGGGAAAGGAAAAGTTGGAAGCCAGGGGTCTTTCTACTCCAACCAGGGCAGAACAACTCTTCATGGGCCCCACCACAAAGCTAACACTGATGGTCTGAAGCTGCTAGTCTCCTGGGCTGCCTGAGACCCCAGCCCACCAGGAAGGACCCAGATGGGTCCTTCAACAGTCTTAGCCTCCTCCTGCAGGAAGCTGTTCACAGACCCTCGGTTCTCCGGGCCAGCTGGAGAAGATGCAGCCACAGTTCCAGAACCCTCTTCCCCACCTCCACTCTGTCTTAGAAAAGGATTCAGAGGCTCTGTCTAGGTATTATGCCTTAAGGTCTCTGCACCTACTTCCTAGTACTCCAGGTACAGTCCATAAGCTGGACAAAGAAAGAGAAAGGAGCCTAACCTAGATCAGGACCCAGCTACCGGCTTGTCTTGGTCCCTACCGGCACCCTACCTGCGGAGTTCAAGAGTGTTCTGGTCAGCAGCCCTGTGCCCCTTGCCTGCCTGTTTGCCTTGTGAAGCTGCAGTCAGTCCCCCAGGACAGCTCAGGGGCTGGCATGGGCTGTACCAAGTGCGGTTATAAGCAGGGGAGACCCTGGGATGGCCCCAAGTAGGGGGCTGGGAGAGTTCAAGGGAGTTCAGAAACCCAGAGGAGAACTCTAATTCTAACAGGACCTTAACCTCTTCAGTGCCAGTGAGGCCCACCCCGATCCAGGGATCTCAACAGGGAGAAACAAGACAGGCTGATATGGCCAAGCAAGGAGTTTGAAACGGATGGGCCAAGTCTCCTTAAAACTACAGCCCTAGGGGACAGAAAGTAGACACAGGCTGGCTGGCCAAAGGGTAGGAGGACAGACAAGAACGGAGACCAGCCATCCTCCCCTGGGCCCTGAGCCTCTGGGCAGTTACCTCTGTCCACCACTGTCTTTTGGGCCCTGACTATGAACTCTTCAGGAGAGACAAGGTCTTTGCTACATGCAAAAGCTGGCTGGCAGTTGGACCACAGGTCGAATCTGGACAGGAGCTAGTTACAGAGGCTTCTTGGCCTTCAGGCCAGTCCCAAGCCCACTGTCAGGGTAGGAACAACCTATTCAAGAAGAATTCCCTTGGAATATGGGAGCAGCACTTGGAAGACACACAGGACTCTACTTTTGTTTATTTGCTTGTCTTAACCTCTGGACACAGGCTCTAAGTAGGTCAGAAGTGGCCTTGTCCTACCTGGCCCCGGCCCCAGGACTCACAGGGGAATGTCCTACAAGTGTTCTGTAAAGCCCTGAGTCCAGGAGACTGCAATCAGAAATTCCTGGGATGCTCCAAACACTTCCCACATGGAGCCCCTTCAGCGAGGAGGGTGAGAGGGCTTCCGAGCCCAGTACAGGGACAGGGCTGCTAATTAGGAAGAGCAATGAACAGAAAGGAGCTCTGTAGGGGTGATGAGGTGATACCATTTCTCCCTTGCAAGAGTGCAGAATAGACAACGATCAACACCCACCCACCCAACCCAGGTTTCAAAGTCTTTGATTACCAAGAACCCAGATCCTAGGAGGCAGTGGTGGTGCACACCTTTAAACCCGGCACGCAGGAGGCAGAGACAAGGATCTCTGTGTTTGAGGCTAGTCTGGTCTACAGAATGAGTTCCAGGACAGCCAAGGCTATACACAGAAACCCTGTCTCAAAAAACAAACAAAAAGAACCCAGATCCAGATCCTATCCATCCTCTTAAATACATTTGGGGGTTTTGTTTTCTGTCTTTTTCATTACTGGGACCACACTGAGGCCTTGTGTGTGCCCGATCCTCACCCCTTTCTCTTTTTCTTTTAGGCAGGATCTTACTAAGTGTCCAAGCATACCTGGAACTCATGATCCTCCTGCCTCAGCTTCCCAAGTAGCTAATTACAGGTGTGCATCACCACACCCAGCCGCAACCAGTTCTACATCCCTGAAGGCAGACCACAGAGCTGCAGAAATGAAGTCGAAAGCCCTCATTTTAAACCCTTTATTGTCAGGTAACCCTGGGCCGACGCAGCAGAGCTGGGTGAGCAGGCAGGGTTCCAGCAGCCGGAGTCATCTTCCCAATCTGCCACATGACTACAAAACACTACTAGATTCACTAGTGACACACTGGCAACAGCCTCCACACTCCCTCAGGCCAGGTCCTGTCTCCCTGGCCCGGGGCCATAAGTTGGCATCACAACATCATGTATACAGCCCAAAGCCAAGAGGGGACCACCATCAGCTCCAGGATTCTGGTGCCTAGTTTCTCCTCTTGACTAGGAGACCCCTCCCCATTATCAAGACTGCCTCACTAGGCCTCATTTTGCCAGGGACAAAATGCTCTCAGGGTCTAACCACCTAAGGGTCTCTGGTTCAGCAACAGAGTAACCAGCACAGCCCCAGGGCACACACTTGGAAGACACAGATCTGAACACACAGCCTGAGACACAGCTCAGCACAGTACAAAGCCCTAGTCAGGCATCTTCCGCAGCCTAAGAACAAGCTAGAGGAGGCCGCCAGGTGTTGTTAACCTACGAGGGGTTAACAACAATCACCAAAAGGTCTTTCTTTAGCCAGAACACTTGAGAGCAGGCAGACACCCTCACCCCTGGAAGCACAAACTCTAGTAGCTGAGTTCTTACCAGGATAGACAGTCGGCACCACACAATCAGCTGCCAATGGTGCAGAGATACCCACAAAATAGGAGCCAAACCCAAGGGTGCAAGGTGCACAGCCCACTAGCCATCCCAAGGACTCCCGCTCTCCTGAAGAGACTCACAACACAGACCAGGAACAAGCACACAGCAAGGATAGTAGCAATTGAGCCTTAGCTCTGTATGTGTCAGCAATGCATGACCCCAGATGTCAAACCCCGCCACTCTCACCAACGAGGGAGTTCTAGATCTACTGTCTTGGAAAGAGTTAACAACGTGAGCCTGTCTTGTCTAGGCACAGGCATCAAACACGGTAGCCAGTCCCGCAAAGCAGGCAGTCCCACACCTCCCCACTCCATTCACATACACTTCACACGCCGTCTTAGCATCTGCACAAGCAGACACGTGTGCACATACGCCTCTCCTGCACCCACATCCACGCCCACTCCTTGTTACGGAGGGCAGCATCCCTGACATGGAAACCTCAGGCACCCGCTCCCGGCCCCCTCCCTCCGCCATCGAAACCAGCTAGTCAGCCCTGGAACCGAGGTTAGAGAGGCATCACTGCAGAGAGGGTGCTGCAGAAGGGGGCCCCTCTCTGAGGCACCAGGTGGCCTGGAGGAGCCCATGCCTGAAGCCAAGAACACTTACCTGAAGCGGCAGCGGAAGCTTGCAGGCTGGCCCGCTTCTTAAAGGGATATTTGGACTTGGACTTGCCTGGGCCAGGATAGGATGCCATGGCTGGGGCCAAGGCGACAGCGGAGGAACCTCACCGGCTGAGGCCAAGCTCTCTTACATCCAACCCCTTCCTCCGCCCCGCCCCCAGCGGGAGTGACTGATGCAGGAAGCAGCGCCCCGCAGGCGGAAGAGGCCCTGGCCACGATTTCTGATGTTGTCTAGGCAACCTCGGGGAGTGGGGCCTCCATCCTGCCCCTTATCCCTCCCTTCCCACTCCAGTCCCTAGAGTGACGTGACTGATGGTAACTGGGACTGGGGTGGGGGTGGGGGTGCAAAGAAAACAGATGGAGCAGCGCCAGCTCTCAGCTCTGCACCACCCCTCACCCCACCTCGCGAGCCCTCATCCCTTGCCAAAGCTTCAAGGCAAAGAAGCCAAAGTCCAGGCTAGGCTGGTCCGGCCAGCCAGAGCGAAAAATAATAAGCAAGAATACAGCCTGAGCTTCTCCAACCTCCAAACCCATTTCCTCCAGGGACAGGGCAAGCATAGTCATGAAAACCCAGCGCCTCTGGGGCAGAGCCCATTCTCTACTCCATCTGACCCCTGCTCTAGGGACAGCTCAGCTCTGGGAGAAGGAGGCTGAACAGAGAATTCGAGCCCGGGAGGGAGGGGCCTATCTTGGGAAAATTCCACTGACTGGCAGACGCTGCCTCCTAGGAAGACAGGAAGAGCAGGAGGCATGGTCCTGTCTTCGGTCTGTGGGAAAGACCCCAGCCTCCCCTGCTTGTCTCTTTCTGCACACTCAAGCTCTGCTTCCCAGACCCTTCTAGGCTCTGCTCACATCCCCTAGGTCTTGCAGGCTGTGCCAAGACCCTCACATTCGCTCTTGTCACCCGGACCAAGGCACCTCTGTCCCGGGATCTCTGTATCGCCAACACACGCGCCCCACGCTTACCTGAGGCCATACTGCCCGAGTCCCGAGTGGTACCAGGGAGGCTGCCTACCAAAGTCTGCCCAGCGGGAAAGCCCGGCTGGGGTGAAGGGAGAGGGCCCCACCGGGGCGAGGTCGCGCCACTGGCCCCTGCACCCGCACTGAGAGGCGGGAAGGCAGTTTTTCAAAATGGCCAGCTGGCCGAAGGCGGACTCCGCCGACTTCAGCGGCCAGAATGACCTCAGGAGACCCAGGAGTCGCGACCCCCCAGCCCGCTCTCAAGAGGAAGCAGGCCACGTGCTCCGCAGAAAACCGGACCCGGAATTCGCCTAGCGTTCTTTCACTACTTTCTGGGCATCAATTAGCGATCCGAACCCCGTGGCCGAGCTGCGGGGGAGTCACGCAACAGGTGCGACCCCGCCTAAACCCTCCCGGACGCGCGCCAACCTCGCCTGCCCCAGGCCCCGCCAAGTCTGCGGCCACGCCCCGCTCGGCCACGCCTCCGCTCGTCTAGCCACGCCCCCACCATTTTCCCTGTTTCCCTAACGCCACGTGGGCAGCCACCCGGCCAGGCTTGGCCTGGCTTGGCCTTTTGGTCTTGGGCGATTTTTGTGCGTCAGCTTCCTCATCAGTAAGATGAGATGAGGTAATGACAGCATCTCATTCAAAGGAGTTACTGAGGATTGAATGTAAAGCCCCTTTGCACAATGCCTGGCACAAAGTCAGGTAGCTATTATTAGGGTCCCAGAATCCATTTTAAGCAGAAGCCCTGCCCTTGCATTCTCGGCATTCCCACCTGAGTCTGTTTCCTTCTATTGAACATTGGTAAACAGGGTGTGCCCTTCAAGGCTAGCTCCCCATCCCACATTAGTTTCTATGTTGAGGTTAGACTAGCCAGAATATCTAGGTTCAAATTCAGACATCTCCACCTACTCCTGATTTGACACTGAACTTCTCTGTGCTATTTCTGTAAATGAGTATCTGCTCTATATGATGCTGGTGAAGATAAATGAGTTAATTATAAGTGCTTAGACCTGTGTCTGGCCTGTTAAGTTACTACCCAATGCCTGGGATCTTTATTGCCGACTCATTGACTCTCCTTGTGGGTTAAGTGAAATTGGGCTGTTTGAATAGGACCTCTCAGCTCCTCTCAAACCAGCATTCCTGTGCCCAAGGGTCAGTCCTACCTAAAGGAAACCTGTAACGAAGAGTCCTCTCACTAAAAGTCCCTATTCTTGCCCTTCGGGGAATCCTTCGCCCCCCACACCCAGCTGTTCTAAAGGTCTCGCCACCCCCACAACTCTTCCTTCCTGTCCCTACCCTGACCTCTGGGCCCTGAACCCCATTCTCTACTTCCGAGCTGACCTCCAGGGTGTCTCCTGTCCACTCTTTGAAAACTATTGCTCTGGGAAGGGGTTGAGGGCTCAGTGGTAACATCCCTCTGCCTTACATGTGGGAGGCAATGCACTACAAGAAGACAAAAACACAAACAAGAAAACCCCTGCAGTGGCCCCTTAAACTTAGAAGCGCAGTGGGGGAAATCCAGCTCAAAGAGAATCAAAGTCTGAAACAGAACAAGAGATACCTTGTTCCTACTTTGTTATGTTTAAATATCAAAACAGGAGCCACTAAAAGCATCTCAATACAGATGAGTGTATTGAACTGGGACACACTCATATAATCTAAGAACCTTTTAGCAAAAAATATAATCAAGGGTCTCAAGTTTTACTGTTTTGACCCAGTAATCCACTTCTAACAAGTTGGGGTTTTTTTTTTTTACAGATCAAAAAATAATTTTATTAGTATTTAAAGAAAAAGCCCCAGAGCATGTAACTTGTGACTCTCAGCAGCTGCCTGGAAGAGGAGAAGGGAAGACATGCTTAAAAGAAAAAGAAAAGAAAAACTGCATCTTTCTCAATCAGGACTCAGGAAGATGGGCAGACCCAACAAATTTCATGGTAGCTCCTAGAGATTTCTTCAGGTGGATGGGAAGCACAAAACCGATCTTTTAAAAAAGGATTATCTGAGCCGGGGTAGTTGTGGTACAACACCTTTAATCCCAGCACTCAGGAGGCTGAGGCAGGGGAAACTGGGTTGAAGGTCAGCCTGGTCTACAGAGTGAGTTCCAGGGCAACCAGGGTTACACAGAAAAACCCTGTCTCAATAATAATTAATAATAATAATAATAATAATAATAAAGGGTTGTCTAAAAAATATCCACAAAGTTGTTCAGTATTACAATGTTTACCACAGAAAATTTGGAAACATAAAGGCCCAAGGGGAATAGCATTTGTTTTTTTGTTTGGTTGGTTCCAGAAGGCAGGATTTCTCTGTGGCCCTGGCTGTTCTGGAACTCTGTACAAGCTGGCCTCAAGCTCAGAGATCCACCTGCCTCTGCCTCCCCACCACCTCCTGGCTAAACAGGGGAATGTCTACATGAACTCAATGAAATACAACCACTAATATTGTTCTTGGAGAACGTTTTAGTCATGTGAAAATGCTTACAACATCAAGTTAGGATGGGTGCAAAGAGCTACACAAATAGGAAGGTCCTAATCGTGTGATTTATATGATACACACAGAAAAGAAGCATGCAGAGTCACAGCATAATCGAGAGGATGGAAATCAACAAAAATCCTGCAGAACTCTAATCACCCAGACTCACCTAGACTTAGAAAGTGGGCTATTCTGAATATAGCCCTTAGACATTATGAGAAGGTTGGTTTTCAAAAATGAACAAAATAAATTCCAAAATTATCAATCAAGTACCATGTGATCATATAGAAGCTCATTTATATTCTGGTAAAATGCAGATTTTGACATAATTTTAAGGGTCACAGCCTTACACTGGGCCAGGCCTATGAAGATCCCCTAATCCAGATCTACCAACCCAGCCAATAGGTGGCAATCCTGTTCTCCACCCAACCCTGGCAAACCAGTTCTTGAGCGCCTTCATCTTGAAGTCCTACCAGCAACAGCACACCCTTCACTATAGAGCCTTCCTCACCCCCATACGTCGGGTCACGTGGTCTGTAGTGGTTGTTAGGAAGTCCGCCCTGCTTCCGTCATGTCCCACCTACTCACATGGACAGAATTTCAGTGGGGTTTTATTGTCCATGCAGAGCAGGACTTGGGGAATGAAGGAGTGGGCCCCCTTGTGGCCTTGAACCTTGTGGTATTGGAGCCTCAATGCTGCTTCAGTCTCTGGGACTTGCCTACCTCTAAATACTGCTTCCTCCTCCTAACCGATTTCCACCATGGCTTCTCAACTGGACCTTCCTGGACCCCTCCCAACATCAGCACGCTCCCGCTTCTGAACAGCTTCCCTGCTTTTCTGACCTTCGGCTCCCTCTCTAGTGAGGCCAGCCTGGCTAGGAACTGATGTCTCCTAGCATTTATTAGACTTGGAGAACACAGCTGAAACTTCCCAAGAATACTTGCCCGGGGCAATTTCCTATGCCCCATCCTATTCCCAGACCTTTCTAGAATCAAGCTTGACCCAGCATCAACTCTTATTCCCTCACCTCAGTCACCCAGAACTACAATAGCACCAAGCGCTTGTTCCTGTGCTTGTCTGCAGGTCGTCCCTATCTGACACTCAAGGTCCTTCACTAGCTGCTCCCAATTTCCTTTTCCTGCCCTCATCTCCCTGCTCTCCCATCCTTTCCTGTCCTGTCCCATCAAGCTTTGCAGTCTCTCTAAGCTCATGTTTACATCACACCTTTTCTCTTTCATCCTTTCCCCTCCCCAGACTCATATCTTCCATTTCTGCTGACCTGGCTCCCTGTGGAAAGTCTGTCCATTTCATAGTCACCCCTTGCTTTCAGTAGTATCGTTATTTAAAATGTGGTCCTTCTGTAGCTCAGGCTAGCCGAGAACTCAGGATTCTTCTACTCTGACTTGCTGCATGCTTTGTTAAGGGCATGAGCTGTTGGTTTACACACACACACACACACACACACACACACACACTTTTTTTTTTAAAACTCACAATAGATGTGTATAATTGCCTCTCCTACCAGGGGGTGGAAGCAAGGTTTTCTGAATCTCCAACATTAGCATCAGCCCTGTAATTGTTACTCTGCTTTCCCCAGCCTCCTCACAGGGACGGACTGCAAGTTCCCAAAGGCAATTCTTCCTGTGTCGGTGTCCCACACTCCATCTGGGGCACAGCTTCTCACTAAATGTGAGGCAGATCCTGAGATCTCCTTCACTTAGGAAGCATGCCCAAATTCCCCGGGGAAACAGTGCCTGCTTTCACTCAAAATGATATGGCCACCTAGGGCTGTGAACCAAACCCCTGGCTTCTGTCCAGCATCATGCAGGGGGGACCACTACTCTCGGCTTCTGTTACCTCTAAGAGAGGCACTCTGGGAAGGCAGGTGGTCTGAGTGTCTCAGCTCAAGCGTGAGAATGGGGAGCTTCCTCCTACAGCTTGTGACCAAGCAGAGGCAGCATCAACTAGAGTCTGGAGCAACAGCAGCTGGGATGAGAAAGGGTGCAAATGTTTCGACATGTGTTGATCAAGCTGGGGGGTTTCTCTCAAGCACAGGGCCGCTGTCCACAGTTTCCCCATTTGCTCAACGGTTCGGTTCTTTTTCTCACTCACTGGGATGGGTGGGGGTTAGGGAGAGGAAGACTATTGACTTCTCTGTTTACTAAATTGCATGACCTGAAAGAAGCTGCAGAACCACCTGTAGCAAAGGCACAGAAACGGCCCAGCACCATCTTCTGCTGTCCCCTTGTGAACAGTTGGGCCTTCCGTGCAGGTCTGGTCTCCGTCTAAGTTACCAATACTGTGGGCAGGGCAGGGCAGGGCAGGGCGGCGCTGGAGGTATAATTACTGGAACCTCCTAGCCAGGATTCCAAAACAGCCACAATTTCAAAGGGACTCTTGTTTGCCCCTAAGTCGCTAAGCACTTGGCAGTTTTTGACTGGGAAAGCCGGATTGCCACGCAGGTCCTTAGCAGCTCTCTCTCTCGTCAGCCTCAAAAGCCTGGTCTGCCAGACACTGGGAGGAGGGCAAAGGAAGATGATAAGCCACGGTTCCGCGTGGCCGGTTCGTGGGGGACCTGGCTTCTCCCTCACACCACTGTCACACAATTTTGGCTCTAAAGGTGTAGTCGGTCTGTTCATCTCCAGGGCTCTTTTCCACCTCGGCTCTTCCTGGGAATCTCCTGGGGAAAAATTTAAATCTCATGCCTGGACATCCAAAACAATTTACTGTCTTTAAACACACACACACACACACACACACACACACACACACTGGCATGCACATGGGCCTGGGTTTGATCTCCAGCACCAAATAAACTGGGGGGGGGGGGCACATTAACTGTAATCACAGTGCTTTGAAGCTAGGCTACATGAAACACAGTTTAAAAAAAAAAATCTTTCTAGTAAATGCCAATGTATACATCCCAAATTTACTTTTGTAGGGCGGGGTTTTCAAACTTGCCAGGTGATAATAACCACTTATAGGAACTTCATTTTAGCCTCCAAAATGAATAGTAACCCAAATGTATAGATTCTAAAATACATCTTTTACAAGTATTTTGAACTATTTTACATTTTTGAAGAGCCAGGTGATCTCACAACCATATTTCAAGAAACAGACTAAAGAAAGGCGCAGGCCAGTCTGGGGAGAAACAGTTCCTTAGGGCAGGTCTTCCCAACCTTAACACCCTGCGGGTCACCCGAGGTACTGTTAAATCCTGATTATTTATTGGGCTTTCTGAGCTGATGACTGCCTTTCTACCAAACTTCTAGGGCATCTGATGTGCCTGCTCCTTACATGACAGTGATTCTCAACCCATGGATTGCGACCCCTCTGAGGGACTGAATGGCATTGTCACAAGAGTTGCATATCAGGTATCTGACAGATCAGATATTTACATGACGATTCATAACAGCAGCAAAATGACGGTTATGAAGCAGCACCAAAAATAATTTTATGGTTGGGGGGGTCATCACAGCATGAACTATACCAAAGGGTTGCAGAATTAGGAAGGTTGAGAGCCACTGTTCTAACGTATCTCAGTCCAGGTGAGGGGGTTGCCCTGGGAAGACTCATCCAAATGAAACTACTGGCCCTGAGAGCTATGGCCAATGAGGTGTGTGCAGTGTCTGTGAGGCAACTGTGAGGTTACGCCCTCACCCCCGCAGGACAGTCAGGATGAGGGCGAGGGCGAGGGAGCAGAGCTATTCCCGCCTCTCCGGAGGCAGGGTTCAACTGCCCAGGGGAGAAGCTTGTTGTGTAAGGTGACACTGGCGTACAACCCACACAAAATACCAGCGAAGTCCACTTAGCCAAGTGTAGCTGGTGTGGGGTAAGGGGAAGCAAGGCAAATCTCTCTACCATGAACTCCTTTTCCTTTATGTCTTCATTAAGCAAATACTTGATGAGGACTCACCAGTAAACCACAAATTCAAAAGTAAATCAGATTTAGTCTGTGAATGGAAGAAATGGACAGTAGTAAATCAGAGAAACAGAGACTCGGGCGGTGGTGGCACATGATTTTAATCCCAGCACTCAGGAGGCAGAGGCAGGTGGTTCTCTGTGAATTCAAGACCAGCCTGGTCTACAGAGCCAGCTCCAGGACAACCAGGTTATACAAAGAAACCCTGTCGCTTTCACCGCCTGACGCCACTGAGGTCGCACGCGTGAGGCCGGTCCGCAGCAGCCAACGTGCCCTACATCGCCTCTTATTTGCTTGCCGCCCTTGGGGGCAACTCCTCTCCTAGCGCCAAAGACATTAAGAAGATACTAGACAGCGTGGGCATCGAGGCAGACCATGACCGGCTCAACAAGGTCATCAGCGAGCTGAATGGAAAAACATTGAGGATGTCCTCGCCCAGGGTGTTGGGAAACTTGCCAGTGTGCCTGCTGGTGGAGCTGTGGCTGTTTCTGCTGCCCCTGGCTCTGCAGCTCCTGCTGCTGGTTCTGCCCCGTTGCAGCAGAGGAGAAGAAAGAAGAGAAGAAGGAGGAGTCCGAAGAGTCAGATGATGACATGGGATTTGGCTTGTTTGATTAAATCTCTGCACCCCTGCAAATAAAACCTTTTTGTGTATCTTGAAAAAAAAGAAAGGAAGGAAGAAAGGAAGAAAGAAAGAAACCCTGTCTCAAAAAACAACAACAAAAAAACTCTCTCTCTCTCTCTCTCTTACATACACACACACACACACACACACACACACACACACACACACACACACACACGGCATTCTGAGAGATGAGCCGGCACAAAGCAACAATAACAGCTCCTGGAGCAGACGTCTCTGCCAGGACTATCCCTTTGATTCCCTAAAACCAAGACCTTGTAAACTCAACTAGGGGATCACTCTTAACCTTCAGCTCTTCGGCTCTCCAATGCAAAGGAATCCCTGGAACAGAGGCTTGCAGGCTTGTATGAGCTCTTCAGAAGGGAGGAGGTGGCTGCTTCCTCCCAGGGCTCCAGTACCTGTCTTCTACCCAGCTGTGTCAAAACCCAGGTCGTTTTCCTCATTAAAGAACATCAGAGTCTTTGCCCTTTGCCTGACTGGCAAAGCTTTTAATTAGCTTACCCTGTCATACTGCTAGACATAAAGGGGACAATCCCTAGATTAAAAAACAGTTTTCCAGCCGGAGGAGGGAGTCTCAAACCAAGGTAGGCAGGGTGCAAGAACCAGCAAGCAGTCCACACTGTCACTCCACTTTTATGGGAGCAGGAGGTTACTCTATCCCAACCTAGGTTTTCTTTATCTCTGTCTAACAGACGGAAGCCGTACTGGCACATTTTCGGAGCTAGAGAAAGCGGTTCTTCTCTGAGGAGACGACAGAGATGGGAAGCGGAATCAGTGCTGAGGACAAAGAACTTGCCAAGAGGTCCAAGGAGCTGGAAAGGAAGCTGCAGGAGGATGCTGAGAAGGAAGCCAAGACGGTCAAGCTGCTGCTGCTGGGTGAGTGACATTGGACGGACTAGCGGAGGGAAAGATTAACACTCTTTGCCTTTCTGGTGGGTTGATGGTGTCTGGTCAACCCCAAGGGACAGGGAGGGCTAGGCATGTTCTCATCCTGGTCCAGTCCTCAAGCTAAGAAACCAAGCAGAGCTAAGTTAATATGGCGGACCCAGAATGTCATGGTCACTGGAATTGTCTTTTGTTTTTCCTTGAACTATGAATAGTGCAAGGACAAAGCTGGGCTACCCAACTGCAACAACACCTCTTTTGGGGTTCAACAAGTACCAAGAACCCTGGCTGTGCAGGCACACCCCAATCCTGCAGTCAGAGAACTGTGGCATACGATAAGATAGGACTCTCTCTCTCAGCAATGAATTCGCAAAGCACCACACCATCCCAACAGTCTCAAGGAGAAGCCTACTGGCTTCTGCCAAGTAGTCTGGGTTCTTCTCCTTGCTCTCAAAATAAATGTTGGGGGAGGGAGGGCCACAGGGAAGATGGAGTCTTTAACAGAAATGCCCTCCTGGCTTTCTGTTAAGTAATTGCTCGAAAGCCCCTGACATCTGGAAGGTTCATTAACTGGAAGCATCTTAAGCAGATCACTGGTTGGTGCAGAGATGATAAAAGCACCTCCGGGGGTCAGTCATGGGAACCGATCATGGCTTCAAATAGAAAACAAGCAACTGACATCTGGCTCACAAAAAAAACACAAGAAATAAAAACACCAGAGTTACTACTGAAGTGGGACCGTTGATTTGTGTAGCAGAAAGCTGACTGCCTGGGGCAGTTTTCCATGAAGAACCTGGGGACTTGAAGCAGTGAAGACCAAATGCACACTAAAGTGGCTGTTTGAGAGCTGGACCCAGGCTCCAGGGAACGCAGGAGTTACCCAGGAACAGGGGCTGACCGACTCAGGCCCCGCCAAGGAACTCAGGAGTTACACAGGAACAGGGGGCTAATGGACCCAGGCTCTGCGGAGGAACCCAGGAGTAACGCAGGAACAGGGGCTGATGGACCCGGCCTCTGCAGAGAAATGCAGGAGTTTCGCGGGAACAGGGACTGATGAACCCAGGCTCTGCCGAGGAAGGCAGGAGCTACACAGGGACAGGGGCTGATGGACAGATCTTTTAAGCCTAAGCAGATTGCCTAGGTTCAGGGTAAGCAGTTTAGAGGAAACAAGCACAGGCAAGGTGGGAGGAGACGGAGGGATCAGGTCAGTAGAGAGGCCTGGAAGGACTGCGAGAATCTGATGGACAAGAGGACACTGGAATGTTTCAGCTAATAACAGATACCGTCATGGTAGGAAAAACAGCATCTCAACAAAGAGTTCCAGCTCTTTCCAATCCCAGCCAAGACTATTTGTGTCTAAACAGGCAGTGTGACTATCTTAAAGGGATATCTACAAGTCTATCGGTGGTTCCCAGTGGGGAACTTCTGAGTCCCAGGGGCCACAAGGTATACCTAGAGATCCTTGGTTGTCACAACTAAGAGTGGGATGCTGGTGGCCTCTAGTGGGTGGAGACCAGGAATGGTGCTAACCAGCTTACAGTGTATCGGGTAGCCATAAAAAAAGGAAATCCAGGTCTCGACGTAAATGGCGTGAATGAGGACGAACTGCTCTAAACCCAGGTGGACGAGCCTAAGCTCACGGTGTCTCTCAGTCAGTCTCCCAGAAAGCACTGTTCACATACCATCATCTGGACCACCGGGGAGAGCCGGTGGAAACTGACAGCATGGACATTTGCCTTCCAGGTGCTGGAGAGTCAGGAAAGAGCACCATCGTCAAACAGATGAAGTGAGTGCAGCACAACCCCGGGAGGGCTGAGTGGGGCGCCATGGAGCCAGTGTTGGTCCAGTAGAAGGGTCCTTAGCGCCAAGGAACCCTGGGCTAAGGGACCTGACTTCCAGTGTCCCTCCCCTCAGCCTGCACTTGGAGACAGCAGTAGACGCAGGCGGTTTCCTATGACCCCTGTATCCCCTAGACTCCCAGTCCCTTAGGTCTGGTTCCTCAGGTTCCGCCCAAAGCTTAGTGTCTGTTCCTTGAAGGATCATTCACCAGGATGGATACTCTCCAGAAGAATGCCTAGAGTTCAAATCTGTCATCTATGGGAACGTGTTGCAGTCCATCCTGGCTATCGTCAGAGCCATGGCCACACTAGGCATTGACTATGCGGAACCAAGTTGTGCGGTACGTGATTAATGTTATCTGGTTTAGGGTGGAAGCAGGAGAAGAAATAGACAAGAGACCAGCAAACCACAAGGAAAGTCGGGTAAGAAAAAGCTCTGCGTAACTCAAATTGCATCTGCTAAGCTTCAAATCACTTTAGTCCTAGTAGGGTAAACAACCTCTACCTTTCTAATGAAGTTTTTCTTAAAGATTTATTTATTATGTATACAGTATTCTGCCTGCATGTACAGAAGAGGGCACCAGATCTCATTACAGATGGTTGTGAGCCACCATGTGGTTGCTGGGAATTGAACTCAGGACCTTTGGAAGAGCAGGCAGTGCTCTTAACCGCTGAGCCATTTCTCCAGCCTCTATAATGAATGTTTATGAAATCAACTTCCAGCATCTTTTTGCCTCTTAACCTTATCATTTAAATTCTCTCCTTGAGCTTCTAGTCCTAGCCATGGGACTTTTATAAGCAAATAAAAGCCTTTTATACGCAAATAAAAGCCTTTTATACACTGAAATACACTAGGTTATAGCTTTTATACTTCCAGTCCCTGCAGCGAAGGACCTGTACCTTCTAGCCGTCTACTTTCAGCCTAACCTGAAGTCTAGCAATTGAAGGATCATCTGGTACTATCCTCTAGGCACCCCAGGACTAGCTACACCTGGAG